CCATATTTCTAAGATTTTCAGGGCCGAGTACAATAACCTCAGTTTTATCTGAATTAAGAAGCAATGACAATGTTATGCTCCCAAATTTTTGGGAAAAGTTTGGTGATGGCCCTTTCTGCTCCAACATGACTGCTCACCAGTGCAGAAACGAAGACACATAAAGATATGGATAAGTGAGTTTGGTGCGGAACAATTTGACTGGCCTGTACAGAGTGCTGACCGCCTGAGTTCTTGAAACAGCTTTATTACTACAGTCACAGGCAACTAAAATACAAAGAACTGAAGTAAACATACACTGAGAAATATTAGCAATGAAACTACACTGGACACACAGCTGGCGAAATAAGCGAGATCACGACAATGCACAGCTAGAGATACAAACAATATAAACAGGAGAGGAAACGGGAAGCAAAAATGATCATGATGCATGCAGGACAAGTGGCTATCAGAATAAAACAGAAAACAGATGATATACACAAGGAAAGGGGAAACAGACACTGATTTTGACTAAACATGGAACCAGAGAGAGACAACAAGGCCAGAAAAAGTATAATTAAACTCAGTACTACAAAACAATAAAACAGAACCTTAACACAAGACACTGACAAAATAAGGCTGAAAGTACAGATTGCAGAGACACAACCTCGACACACAAAGAGAAAGTGAAAAACACAGAGACAAAACTGACAACACAAGAAGGGACATGGGGGAAGCATAATAACAGAAACCTAAACCTAGATAACAAACTAACCTGGGGATACACAGAGGGATTACAAAGAATGAAAATGAAATGAATGGAAATGCTTTTGGATGTCCTATATTAGTCCTATATTAAATGTCTTTGTCATTCTGCAATATAATTTCCTTAATTCAGATTGATGGGCTGCTGTTTGTCAGAGATTAGCTGTACCCCTTTGGGCTCAGCTCTGAAGTCCAACCCCTCCTATCTGAGAGAGCTGGACCTGAGTCACAACAACGACCTGCAGGATTCAGGAGTGAAGCAGCTCTGTGGTTTTCTGGAGAGTCGGCACTGTAGACTGGAGATTCTGAGGTCAGACAAGTCATTTTTTTAACTTATGATATAAAGACTGTGGTGACACAAAGCTCATGTTATAATAAATCTCTTAGATTATATATTAGAGGTGCAAGGTCGGATGACAGAATGCAAAAATAGCTAAAGAAATAATGGTTTCTGGCTGCTTGAAAGATGTGCAAAAACCAAACATCAGTGTATAAAAAAAAATAAAAAATCTAAATATGAGGAATCACAGAAAAACAGCAAAGGTCAAACCTAAACAGTGCATGGAAGATACAGAGGCCATAACAAAACAACAAAAGGAAAGAAATGAAAAACAATAGAAAACAAACAAACAAAAGACTGTATGTACACAAAGAAGGCTGAATAAACAAAATGAAATAGATAGGGAATGTGGCATGGAGAAACACCTCTTGACAGCGCCAAATCACAACTACTGTCACCTCAAGGCGCTTTATATTGTAAGCTAGACCCTACAATAATAGATACAGAGAAAAACCTAATAATCATATGACGCCCTGTGAGCAAGCACTTTGGCAACAGTCGGGAGGAAAAACTCCCTTTTAACAGAAAGAAACCTCCGGCAGAATCAGGCTCAGGGACGGGCGGGGCCATCTGCTGCGACCGGTTGGGGAGAGAGAAGGAAGACAGAATAAAGACATGCTGTGAAAGAGAGACAGAGATTAATAACAGATATGATTCAGTGCAGAGAGGTCTATTAACACATAGTGATTGAAGAAGAGACACCCAGTGAATCATGGGAATCCCCCAGCAGCCTACACCTATTGCAGAGAGGTGACATTGATTTCACTAGAACCAGTTTTGGATTAGATTAAAAACCCCAGGGACTTCACCCCTGACCATTGCCTACTTCATTCTGCAGAGGATCCCCATAGCTCCTCTTGTGATTGGTGGGTCCAAAAGAGGGTGGATCCATGTTGCTCTTTCAGGATGAGCCCAGGGAGATCCCATGGGCCAAAGCTGGGCCAATTAAAAAAAATAAAAAAAAATAAAAGATATTCATTTAAGTTATTTAAGGTAAAAATACATGTATCTCATAAAATAGCAATAGCCTCAAAAGACATAGAGATACACCTTTCAACACTTTTCAAAGCATTTCTTAAAGAATTTTGGCATGTGCTGTTTGGATTTTTCTTTTTCTGAATTTATATATATTCTCTAAACTTTCTTGTGTGCGGAAGAGATATGAAACACTGAGTAATTTAATTTAGAAACTTTGTCTAATGAATTTATGTTCTTTCTTCAGACTGGATAGCTGCAGTTTGTCCGAAATCAGTTGTGCAGCTCTGGCCTCAGCTCTGAAATCCAACCCCTCACATCTAAAAGAGCTAGACTTAACTGACAATAAACTGAAAGATGCAGACATGAGGCAGCTGTGTGATCTGGTGGAGAAACCAAATTGTGGACTGAAGACTCTGAGGTCAGTGGATGGTTTAAGTGTGCCCATGTTGCTTTACATTTATTACTAAATGTATGTATTTTATTTTAATATTTTCTGTAAACCTATAGCCTATGAGGCTGATTTTCCCCATGTAATTGTGAGATATTTGTATAGCTTTGTAGATAGCTGGATCAAGTCACAGATTTGTAAGTAATGTTTAATTCCTGCCACCTTAAAGGCTTGTAGCGCATAACCTATTGATACAGATAGCTTAATCATATTTAAGATTGAAACATTAATTAACTGTAGAACTTATTTGAGCAGTCTTGTAGCATTACGTCGATGATGGTTTGGGGAAAGTGACTATTGAAGCCAGAATGATCAATCTGAATAAAAGAGTCTAAAGTGGAGGTGGAGCTGTCATACCTTCAGTCAAGCGAAGGCTAGTTTGACTTTGTCTGCTGATGTCTAAATATCCCCCCTCCACTGAAAAAAATTAAGTCGTTTCCCATGTTCACAAATGTCTATGTATATTTGCAGGTGGAAGCTCTGATAAACTTGTGTATGCTGACAGAGAGTGACCTGTGTCCTGATGATATGGAGAGGCTGAAGAAGCAGTAGCTTGTGTGTACAGATCCTGTGAATGGGAAAGATCACAGATTTTTGAAGATAGAAGACCTCAACAAGCACAAAGAATTAGATGGAAAGGTCATGTAAAATGTTAAAAAAAATAATCTGTTGCACTAATTACCATGAAATCCAACTTTTAACTGTAATGTAATAGGATGATGGTGTGATTCAACTTGTGTTATCGTAATGAAAACAAAAAATAAGGATGAAAAGACAAACGAAGGTTGACATTGGTTATAAGCTGATTAAACCTTTGATCTATAACTGTACAATAGGGAAGTGAAAGCGCTGCGGATATCTTATGTGGAGATGGTCAGTGGAGAGGTGCCATCAACATTATTTGTATTTACATGTTCAATTTTATTCTGTTCTTTCTCACAATAAACTTCTGTCTACACCAAAAAGCTGCTGGTGTCCCAGAATTTTAATTTTAACTAACACAGCTTTAGGTCCCTTTAATTGGACCCACAGGCAGATTTGGTTTGCTGCAGGACACTCAGCTATCTTCACGTTTAACAAAATGACACATCTGACAGATTAGCAGAATATAACAGAGTGGAACGGGAAGCACACTGATCAATGGTAAATTGTTTTCACAGTCACAGTGATGGAAATATGTTGGTCACTGATGCCCCTTCTTCCTTTGGGCCATTCAGACTGCTAACAAACTCACCTCTCCTCACCAATCTGTGCCATGGTCTGAGTGACCCTCATCACTCAGGACACTGACACACTCACACCAAGTCCTTTGCACTACCTCCAAGCACTTTCCTCTCCAGTGTGTGCCTTTGTCTTGTTTTGTATGTGCTCCTGATGTCTTACTATTTATATTTTATTCCTGCAAAGTTGGTGTGGATGTTCCGCTCTTAATTTTATTGCAATATAGGCGCTCTTTGCAGTGAGCTAATTTTATTTTGAAATTCGTTTTAATTTCAAAAACAGTTTCGGGAAGTGACAGCAAGTCAGCCATGTTTTTAGTTCCTAGCGGATCACATGTGGGGATATTTGACCCAGCGACATCTGCCTTTTGTTTGTGCCATCGACACCACCGTCTGTAAGTTTTAATTTGTATTGAATTGTAGGATTGTATTTTATGTATATTTTGTGGAAACAATTGCTGTAGATGAAAACTTTAGTAGTTGTGTGCTAACGCTAATGGATGTGTATTGGAATCTATTTTTGTCGTGCTAATGATGCTAAGTTAATTTTAGCTATGTTATTTGTATTTCAGTTTCACTCCATGAGGAAATACTTACTAATTAAAAGGAGTTGGACGCTACATCCTGACTTCGCGCGTTATTTCAAGTGGAGTTAGGCTACTGCTCAATTGTGTAGCGTACACACACAAGGAGAGCAGGACAGTAAAAAGACGGTTAGCAGCTGGCAAAACAACTCTACGACAGCAAGCTATGTCAACAAACATGGACGAAGAACACCCCGAAGGTGCAAGACCTAAGGGATTAAAACTAAACAAACGAATCAAATATTTGATATGATACGACATAGAACAACAAGAGCCATTGCTGCCCTCCAGGTGGACTTAAAGGAACACAATTGGAATGAGGTTTTTGCAAATGAAGATTCAAATAGTGCATATGATGCATTCTTATCAACAGTAATTTCACTATATGAAAAACATTGTCCTTTAATGAAGATCACTAGAAAGCATCACAGATCAAATAAGCCATGGATCACAAAGGGGATAGAAGATGCATGTAAAAAGAAAAATAATCTATATAAGAGATTCATAAAACAGAGGACAAAAGATGCTGAAATAAAGTACAAGTTATATAAAAATAGATTAATAAATATTATAAGAACAAGTAAGAAAGAATATTACCACAAATTATTGGAGCAAAGTAGAAGTAACACACAAGAAACATGGAGGATATTAAACAGTATAATCAAAAAGGGCTCAAAAAATAAGAATTATCCAGATTATTTAAAAAAAGATAAAGATATGTTGATAAAATAAAGACTCAATGATTTAATGATTTCTTTGTAAATGTTGGCTTTAATTTAGCAAAAGAAATTCCAGAGTCAAGAAATAATAACGACCTAAATAAACATATTACTCAGAATGTGTCCTCCATGTTTATTGGTGCTGCAACTCATAGAGAAATAATTAACATTGTGAAGACATTTAAAAATAAAAAGTCCACTGACTGTTTTGGTATTGACATGATATTAGTTAAAAGTATTATAGAATATATAGTGCAACCTTTCGCATACATTTGTAATCTGTCCTTTCAAACTGGTGTGTTTCCCTCACAAATGAAAATAGCAAAAGTTATTCCAATCCATAAAAACGGAGAGAGATGTCAGTTTACCAATTATAGGCCAATATCACTACTCCCACAGTTCTCAAAAATTTTAGAAAAGTTATTTGTTAATAGACTTGATAAATATATTGAGAAGCATAATCTCCTAAGTGATAACCAATATGGCTTTAGAGTGAAAAGGTCCACTTCAATGGCAGTGATGGAACTTGTTGAAGGGATATCTAATGCAATAGATAATAAGGAATATACTGTTGGTGTTTTTATAGACTTAAAAAAGGCGTTTGATACAATTGATCATTCTATATTAATGAATAAACTAGAGAGATATGGCATAAGAGGGATAGCATACAAGTGGATGAAAAGTTACCTGGATGAAAGATATCAATATGTCGAATTCAATAATGTAAAATCTAAGCAGTTGAAGGTAACTTGTGGTGTTCCTCAGGGCTCTGTGCTGGGCCCTAAATTATTTATATTATATATAAATGACATATGTAGTGTTTCCAAACTGTTAAAATGTGTATTGTTTGCTGATGATACCACTCTGTACTGCTCAGGTAAAAACCTAGAACAGCTTCTGACTACAGCGGAAAAGGAGTTAAATATATTAAAAAACTGGTTTGATGTAAATAAGTTATCATTAAATATAAAGAAAACAAAATTGATTATTTTTGGCACTAGACAAATGAAAAATGTATCTAAAATAAGGGTTAATGGAATTGAAATTGAAAGAGTGTACGAAAATAAATTTCTTGGAGTGATAATTGATGATAAGCTGAGTTGGAAGTCTCATATAAACCATGTGAAAACAAAAATGTCAAAAACCATTGCTATTCTCTATAAAACAAAGCATGTCCTGAACAAAAAATCATTATACACACTTTATTGTACTCTGTTGCTTCCATATATGACTTACTGTCTGGAGATATGGGGTAATGCATATAAAACGAACACTCTTCCTATTTTCAAGTTACAAAAAAAGCTATAAGAATTATAAACCAATCAAACTATATAGAACCAACTAACATTTTGTTTATTAATCTGAATACCCTGAAATTTTATGATTTAGTTGAATATAAAATGGCACAGATAATGTATAAAGCACAAAATAACTTGCTTTGCCCCAGTACTCAGAAGCTGTTCAAAGTCAGAGAGAGTCAATATGACTTAAGGGGAACAGATTTCTTTAAAAAAAACAAGATAGGACAAATATAAAGCAGAGATGTGTTTCTGTTAGAGGAGTTAACCTGTGGAATAGTTATGACAGTGATTTAAAAAGGTGTAGTTCATTTTCCTTGTTTAAAAATATGTTTAAAAATAGAGTAATAGAAAAATATATAAATCAAGAATGAAAAGAGCAAAAAACAAAAAAACCTCTTGATTCTTTTGCTTTGATGTAGTTACTTATCTAAGGTGGAAAGTTTTTTTTTTCTTGTTTGTTTGTTTGTTTGGTTTTTGCTTTGTTTTATTATTTGCTTCGAGCTGCATGCAAAAAGATATTTTGTGAAAAGGGTTGGCGTAATAAGCAAATGCTTCAGCCAATACCTTTTGATTAGCCTTGTCTCATGCTTTCTTGCTTTGTGGTAGATCTTTGTTCTGTTTTCACTGAGATATTTGAATGCTAATCAATAAAAAAAAAAACCCCCAAAGCCTCCTCAAGACGGAGCATCAGTTAAAAGCACTGGTTCAGTTTCCAGATATTCAAGTAGATCAAATGTCAGTGCAGCAGCAGCACACGCGAGAGCCAAGGAAGAAGCTGCTCGTGCACGTGTTGCCTTCGCACAGAGAGAGATCAGCATTAAAGTCAACAAAGCAAGATTAGAAGATAATCTCAAAGCCTTAAATCTGGAAAAGGGAGCTGCAGCCACAATTGCACAAGCAGAAGTTTTGGAAGCAGCAGCAGAGATAGAGGTTGAAGCACATCCTAGTTGGAAAAGTCTCCCAGTTATGGTGCAGAGTACACATGAACGTGTAAGCGACTATATGAGAGACCAAACTATGCAGCTTAACCAACGTAATGAACCAGTCAATCTCTCAATATCAGAGCATCCTATCGAGAAGAGCCCTCCACCATCGGCTAAGTACATCATTAAAGATGAGTATATCGTGAAAGACTCATGGCCCACATCTTTCCAGCCACAACCAAGTTCCAAGGTTGTTGTACAACTTGCATAGTTCCCATTTCTGTATAGCTGTGTATCTCATATTTCTGTTTAGTTCTTTATTTCATATTCTGTATAGTTTTTTTTTTCATATTTATATCCTGTTCATAGTCTGTACATAGCTTGTACTCACTACAGCCTGTACATACTTATAGTTATAGCATATTCATAACATACTTCATACCGTGTACATATTACATACCATAATAAACCCATTTCTGTAATATACTTACATATCTATATTATAGCTAATGTATATTGTAATATATCTATATCATGGCTAAAGCAATTCTGGATGGATACAAACTGCAGTTCATTGCCCTGTACCTGTGACATGTGCAATGACAATAAAGTTGAATTCTATTCTATTCTATTCTAGTCTAACACATGCATACCAAACTGCTCACACCTCTACCCAATCAGCTCAGCCAGACATAAATGGTCACCTCCAAGTTAACAGTGTGGAACTCCTGCAAGAAAAAAAGAGCAATAGGCCCTACCCTAAACCAGAGCTAACTTTTCCTTAGTATCCCAACACTTCTCATACACACCCTCCAGACTCTTCAGTGATGATGGACATGGCGAAGTACCTGGCACGAAAAGAGCTCATGTGCACTGGCTTAACCCACTTTGATGATCATCCAGAGTCATACAGAGCATGGATATCTGCCTTCTCCAATACCATTAAGATATGAGATGAGATAGCCTTTATTTGTCAGTTGCAGGTCTTTTGCCCAAAACCGAGATGACAGACCTTGCCGACCGTAAATAGAATACAAACATCACATTGGGGAGACAGGTCAGGCCAGGTAAGGAAAAAAGCATTGAAATGTGCAACACAAAAGGATAATACAGGAATGCACAGGTATCAACACACCATAACACAATAAACACAGACAAGCAACATGGGAAAGTGTTCCAGTGTGTACATCTGATCTGGGACTGCTGTAATCTTCGACTGCGCCTCCAGCTGACCCGATGTCCACATCATGGGGGAGGTAAGCGTTGGAGGTGGCGTTGGATAGGGAGGGTGATGTGTCGGTGAGTGCTTATCAGTATATGTATACTGCGTGTCCATAGTTCAGCTGAAACAGTCTTCCAGCCAACCCAGGTGGCCTTGTAGGGAATGGGAAGGAACAGACTCAACACAGTCATTTCTGGATTCAGTTTCCACAGAAATTATACCCATCAAAATGTTTCGTTGTTTAAACATGATTTTTATGTATTTTAATCCAACCAGATTTTTTAGAACACTTTTTCTTTTTCTGACATTGTAATTTCAAGATGATTAAAGAGCCCAGAAAGATGAAAACAGCTTAAGGGTTTGGACCTTACTGCAAGTGAACAGCTGGATTTACTTTCAAAATGGCTTGGGAAGGAATCTTCTGCATATGTCAAGCGCCTAACAGCAGTTCATATTGACAACTCAAAATGGTCTGGGACAGGCTCGATGAATGCTACAGTGCTCCAGAGTCATCGAAAGTGCTCTCTTTAGGAAGTTGGACAGCTTTCCTAAAATAACAAACAAGGACAATTACAGGTTAAGGGATCCTGGAGATCTATTGATGGAATTACTTTCAGCAAAAGAGGATGGCTACTTGCCCGGCTTAGCTTACCTGGATACCGCCCGTGGCATCAAACCCATCGTGCAACAGTGACAAGCACATCACAGCTCTGGTCCATCCTAGGCTCACCACAATTCACAGGCCTCAAGTCCCCAACAGGTGACGGCGGGGAGCCGGAAGAGGACAACCAGACAGTTGAAGCCTCGTGCACTGATTGTCGCCAAAAACGGCACGCCTATCACAGTAATAGCTAAAGACCTCTAGTCGATTATATTATGACGTTGTAGCCACTTTTCGGACCATCGGAAGACATTCCAACATGCCCTTGGCACTAATTGTGGCAATGCGTAGGTCAAAAGCTTGTTCCAAGATATGTCTCGTTAAAGTTTATCCTAAAGAGTGCCCACAACAAGCCATCAAAATGTATGCTATGCTCGATGACCAGAGCAACAAGTCTCTAGCCAGGTCAGAGTTCTTCAACTTATTCGGAATCGAAGTTGGCTCATACCCCTACATCCTGAAAACTTGTGCTGGCTTAGCCGCAACCTCCGGCAGGAGAGCAAATGGCTATCAAATCGAAGCAGTAAAATGGTAAATGGCCTGTATTTATATAGCGCTTTACTAGTCCCTAAGGACCCCAAAGCGCTTTACATATCCAGTCATCCACCCATTCACACACTGGTGATGGCAAGCTACATTGTAGCCACAGCCACCCTGGGGCGCACTGACAGAGGCAAGGCTGCCGGACACTGGCGCCACCGGGCCCTCTGACCACCACCAGTAGGCAACGGGTGAAGTGTCTTGCCCAAGGACACAACGACGAGCGACTGTCCAAGCCGGGGCTCGAACCGGCAACCTTCCAATTACAAGGCGAACTCCCAACTCTTGAGCCACGATCGCTCTTGATCGAAGGAGTAAATGGTGAAGTTAGCCTTGCGCTACCAACACTGATCGAATGTGACGACTTACCAGTAAATCGTGATGCAATACCGACACCTGAAGCTGCCCTCCATCACCTGCACCTCAAGAACCTTGCTAGCAAAATCCTGCCTCTTGATAATGATGCCAAGATCCTGCTTTTGCTTGGGAGAGACATTCTCCAGGTTCACAAGGTGAGGCAGCAGATCAACGGTCCTGGTGATGCACCCTTCGCTCAAAGGCTTGACCTTGGATGGGTCTTAGTAGGTGATGTGTGTTTGGGAAAGGTTCATAAGCCCATTGTCCACTGTTATAAAATGAACATACTGGAAGACGGAAGACCATCATTGTTCAGACCTTGTACGAGCCACATCCATCTCAAGCAAATGGTCAACTCCAGTCAAGTCAAGGGACTCTCACACAGTTGCCGTAGCACTGCAATGGACGATGACTCACTCGGCAACACAGTCTTTGCAAGAACAGCGGATGACGACAAGCGTGCCTTCTCCATAGAGGACGAACAGTTTCTGCAGATAATGGGTGATGAGGTTTTTCAGGACGAGTCAAATAGTTGGGTGGCTCCTCTTCCCTTCAGGCCCCCCAGACCACCTTTGCCCAACAATCGTGAGCAAGCATGACTCAAGCGCACAATGCAATGGCATCTCGCTGAACAACGTGCTACTCAACGGACCAGACTTGAATAACAGTCTAATGGAAGTCCTTATTCGTTTCAGGAGAGAGTGAGTAGCAATCATGGCTGACATCGAACAGATGTTTCATTGTTTTGTCGTGAGAGAAGACCACCAAGACTACTTACGCTTTCTGTGGTATAGAGATAATGATCCCAGCAAAGACATTGTTGAATACAGGATGAGGGTTCACGTATTCGGCAACATACCTTCTCCAGCTGTGGCAATATACTGTCTCAGAAGAGCTGCAAAGGAAGGAGAACAGCAGTACGGGTCAGACACCAGACATTTTGTGGAATGCGAGTTCTATGTAGACGATGGTCTTGTTTCCACATCCACAGAGGAGGAGGCAATTTCTCTGCTACAGAGAACCCAAGCATCTCTCTCTGAGTCAAACCTGAGACTGCACAAGATCACGTCCAACAGCGTTGACATCTTGAAAGCCTTCCCTGCAAGAGATCATGCTAAGGGCATTAAAGATCTTTACTTGGATGGAAGCGCAGTACCCACACAGCGAAGCCTTGGATTGAGTTGGGATGTTAAAAGGGACACATTCACCTTCCAAGTGTCAGTCAGTGACAAGCCATTCACACGACGTGGGATTCTCTCCACCATAAACAGTCTTTTTGACCCTCTCGGCTTCGTCACTCCTGTGGCTGTTCAAGGCAAGTCGTTGCTGAGAGAGTTGAGCTTAGATGGAACCAATGCCAGTCGTAGAGAGATATGCATCTTTTCAGACGCTTCAACCAAAGTGCAAATGACCAGGTTCATGTGGGTTTGAACCTGGGCGACCGTGGCTCAGGGGGTTGGGAAGTGCATCTGTCACCGGAAGGTCGCCGGTTCGATCCCCAGGCTCTCTGTCCTGGTTGTTGTGTTCTTGGACAAGCCTACTGGTGTTGGCCAGAGGGGCTGATGGTGCAATATGGCAGCCTCGTGTCTGTCAGTCTGCCCCAGGTGTGGCTACAACCGTAGCTTTCCTCCACCAGTGTGTGAATGCGAGAGTGAATGAACAGTGCCATTGTAAAGCACTTTGGATGACTTGAAAAGCGCTATATATCCAATCCATTATTATTATTACCATACCAAGACTGGAGCTGTGTGCGACAGTGCTAGCCATAGAAATTGCTGAGTTTATTGTTCAAGAGATCGATATCCAAATTGATGTGATCACCTTCTGCTGTGACAGTAAAGTGGTGCTGGGCTACATTCATAATCAGTCCAAATGTTTCTATGTGTACGTCCACAACAGGGTTCAGAGAATCCACCAGTCCACACAACCGAATCAGTGTAGGTATGTACCTACGGAGCATAACCCAGCTGACCATGCTTCTAGGTCCGTTCAAGCCTCACAGCTCACCACAACCAACTGGTTCACGGGTCCAACATTTCTATACAAATCACAGCCAAGCAGCGAGCAACATGAGACCTTTGAGCTTATCAACCCAGACGCAAATGTTGAGATACGACCACAAGTTACCACCTGTGTTACAAGTCAAAAGGACAAGTCCCTGGGTTGTGAGAGATTCACGAAATTCTCTTTCTGGAAGTCTATACGGAGAGGAGTTGCAACACTCATCCATGTAGTTTGTTCTTTTAAGGCAAGCAGCCAAGGAACCAACGGGTGTAATGGTTGGCATTGGTGCCATAAACCTCTCACAGCTGACGAGTTGTCCAAGGCAACCACAGTGATTCTTGTTGCTGTGCAACAACTTAACAACTTACTGTGAAATACTTACTATTAAAAGGAGTTGGACGCTACATCCTGACTTCGCGCGTTATTTCAAGTGGAGTTAGGCTACTGCTGAATTGTGTAGCGTACACACACAAGGAGAGCAGGACAGTGGAGCACCCATATTAAATTCGGTTCTTTTGGATTCTTTAGCGCCAAGAAAGACACGGCTCAAAAGTGGTCCTTTTACTTTAAAAAATGATCTTTATTTTACATATCCAGATATGTAGACCTTAAGACAAAACACACAACTCCAGCACTGAAGCACAAACAAAAGCCTAGTTATTTATATACTTGCTCTCTACGTCATACCACACTTTAAGTTTCGATCAAAGCCTAGTTGGTTTCACTTTCTAGCTGCAAAAGCATGCAGTTTCCTGTCAGCACTTTTTGGCACAGAGTGTACTCAGAGTTAGGCCTTTCTTATACATAGCAATATAATCAGCATATAAACATTTAGGATGGTAAATGTTTATATGCTGATTTACAGTAATATTTACATTTACGATGATAAATTTAAACCTCAACATTTTGTTGTACACGTACAATGACAAGAAAGGGCTATTCTATTCTATCTCTTAGATAATGTTTATATTTAATAAAGGGGATGCTAAAATGACTTTTACACTCTAGAAATGAACTAAATGCATTTTAAGTTACTTTTTAAATGTGGTTGCAGACAGATCACAGATTCAGAGTAGACCGTAAAAAAAGAAATCCTAAAAAAAACAGTAATATTCCGGCAGCTGGGGCGCCAAAATAATACCATAAAATAACTTTCTCATAGAAATACGGTTTGTTGCCCTAATTTTACATGGGATTTTGCCTTTTTCAAGTGCTTTTAAACATTAAATTAGGAACATTTTAATGTGATTAAACAATGAAATTACCTATAAACAAGGTCAATGAATGCAGCAATATGAATAATAATACTTGTACAGAAATATGCAGTTAACAGTTGGTTTAAATAATAATGGTGTCAGGGTTGGCTGAGGAGAACCCAAATGCTGGACTTTTAGAATGGAGAAAGTGAGTTTATTTAACAGAACAGTGCCAACAGTCCACAGTGTGTGCTTTCCCAATTCCCCCTGTACCGTGATTCCTTTCCGTGATGCGTGGTTGTGCTTCGTCCTCCTTGGTGCCAGTGTTCAACTGTTTACTGCTCCCTCCACACGTTTCCGTAATCACCCTGGAAACAAGAGATGCCACAATGAGTACTGCCCCATCCACTGGCCGACTAAACACGTTAACCATTCCAACAAGAAAGTATTGAAAACTGTATTTCTAGTTCAACGATCCCACGCCGACTGCTGCTCCACTGCTCTCTTAAGTAGAGCCCCTTGATTAGGCAGATCAGCAACAGGTGAGTTATTATCACAGGTGTGGCTGGCTCCAAGACAGGGACTCTCCAGACCTGGTGGGGCAGCAAAACTGACACAACAACACACAGGGAAACGAGGAACGAGGAGCAGATCACACCACAACCATAAACGATTAAGAAAGACAAATAAAACTCATAATATTCTCAAAAAAATACTCAAAAAAGACCACATGATCCCTGGGTCACAGAGCCAGGCCCATGACAAATGGATTGCATTCATATAGCGCTTTATGAGACCCTCAAAGCGCTTTAAAATTCCACTTTATAATTCTCCTCTGGCCATCACCAGTAGGTGTTAGGTGAAGTGTCTTGCCCAAGGACACAACGACCGAGAGTGTCCCAGCCGGGGCTCGAACCGGCCACCTTCTGATTACAAGGCGAACTGCGAACTCTTGAGCCACGATCGCCCTAAATAGCAATAATAATAATAATAATTTGATTTAAATTTTTTTTATAAGAATCATATTATATATTTTTCCATAGCATTACATTTGAATTTAACAGTTCAATCTTTCAAATAACAGACAAATATTTGTGAAATTATGATGCATTTGTGAATGTATTTTAACATACAAATAATATGCATATGTACAGACAAATACATTTAAAAAATAAGAAAGTTATGTTTTATTACATTTACAGTGATTTTACGTTAATTTACATTTGAAATTTAAAATCACAGTCTATTTATGTGAATTTGATGATATTCTGGAAGAACAGTACAAAACTGTAAAATACACAGTTAAATACTTTTATATTACAATTTTCTTTTACAGTGTAGTTAAGGCCTGGATCCAACTATTGATATGTGCTAGTTAGAATTATTACGCTCTTGATTTTCTCTGGCTGTCTCTTTTCTGCTCTGTCCTCCTAACACATCATCCTTTGTGGAACATTAAGATTCATATGTGGGTCACAGCCAGGAGGACAGAGGTGATGTAGAGACAAGGTAGAGGACTCTCTTACTTTTGTTAACAATAAATTAACATTTAACTCATTTGTAGGAATGCAATCACATTCAGCTGTTACATGTAGGTGGAACTAGACTCTTTGCATTTAGTTTCACATGGTTGTTTTGGAAATGACCTGATTATGGAGTTTGGTGTCAGAGAGTGTGCAGCAGACTGACAGGAGCAGCTGTGTGTGTGTGTGCGCATTCTTCCTTAAATAGACTTCCTTCCTTTTCTCAAGCTTGATGTCCGTCTCTCTGTCAGTGCCAGATAAACAGCCGCTTGTTTATGCCATGATTTTGCCAATAGGCATTGATCCTTCTGCTCTGCGTTGCTGAAACATGTCCAGATGTGAGGTAGGATATCAAAGTGTCTGTAATGGGTTTTTTTCTTCAAGTATTGTGTCATTTCTCATTATTACACATAATCTATGGACATCTGTGGTTTGATTTCTTTGCATGTGAGGATTGGATGGGTTGTTACCAACATCAGGTGATAATTTCATGTCAGCAGCACCTTCAGAAATATATTTACTTAGAAAATTGGTGACACGTGCAATGCGATCTTGCCCACTGTGTGTGGATTTTAAATCTGTTTCTAAACTACAGGAGGCAAGAAATGCAACTGACTGGTCCCAGAGACGAGAGTGGACATTTGAGAAACTTCTGAACAGCAGAAAAACATCTGGACAGACACTGGAAAAAACAGCTGTCTTCAACCTTGATCACATCTGTTGATCTGAGGCCTGTTAGGAAAAAAAGATACCTGAACATCACATCACAACATCTGTATTGTAGAAATTAATTTGAAACATTAGAACAACACCTAGACAAGAGGTTCTGGCCTCTGAACACAATCACATGTAATATCTGTCCCACAGCAGAGAAACATGTGGTTTCATCACCACACAGCTGGTTGAGTTTTTGAAAACTAATCAGCTGTGTTCTCTGAACTCTGTGAACAAGGAACGTGGGAGATGGGAGGAATAGTGTGTACAGAAGAGATGAAGGAGGAGAAGAGGAGGAGCGAAGGGAGGGAAGACAGTTTGACATCAGCAGACAGAATACGAAGATTCACCGTCAAACAGTTTGGATACAATGTTCTGAGCCTGGCTCGCCGAGGTCTGAAGGTATGACAGCAACACCTGCTTTTAGGTACAAATGGCCACTGCTGCCATCTCTGTGGTTTCAATTAATAATGTACAAGCACACATCCTGGTGTCTACACTTGTACATTCAGAGTTTAGCCCTATGAGATCCAAGATCCAAGTGTTATCTCAGATGCAGGTTGAAGCTCCATCATCAGCCTGCACTGTGATCAACACCTCTTTCATCCTTCTGGGAACGCAGTCAATTATTCAGATATGATCTGATCAGATATGACAGCATCTGGTTTCTCATGCCAGCCTTAATCAATCTTCACTTATTTAAACTCCTTTGTTTGCTTTCCAACTCTTGCTGCCTATGAGCAAGTGCAAATCCACTTAGGATTGTTTTCTTTGAATCACTGCAGAGATTTTAGTTTCAAATATGAAGCGCCTTGAGGTAACTTTTGCTGTGATTTGGCACTATATAAATAAAACTGAATTGAATTGAACTGAATACCACTGGTAACACAGAACCAATTGAAACCTCACCCACTAACTATAGTTTTGAATACTGCGCAACACGTGATGAGATCCCTGTTATATACACTCAGGTCAAAAGGTTTAGAAGTTTTTTTTATTAGAAATTATACATTTTAATGTCTCTTTGCACTCTGAAATGAAAGCATAGTACAAACAAGCAGTTGCAGTTAAAAAAGAAATCATGAACTTGTTACACCCCCACCTGGGGGGAACCCAGAGGCAACCAAAAAAAACCCTCAAAACGAATAACGGCCCCACTCCCTGCTCCCAAGGAAAGATCAACGCTGCCAAGGGTTTGTGGTTTTACAACAATCAAATATTTTATTAAAGGTAGCAAGCGTCAGGGTGGTCCCAATATGTAGTCATCCCCATTCAGTCTTCAACCAACGGTCGCCTCCACCTTGAGCTTCCATTAGCACAAACAGCAGAGAGATGAGGGTATGGTACCACAGTGTGGTCCAACACTGCTTTTATGCAGACAGAGGGGGCTGTAAGTAATCCAGAACCACCTGTAGGAGTTAGTAGCACCAGCTTTCATCGCCTGATCAACCTCCATTACTGCAGAACAGCTTTAAACTGTTAACCCATGTTGTGTTCCCTGAAAAAGGCCTTTTTTTGGATAATTCTGAAATGCACGTTATTTTTCAGTTTTGGGTAATCTTACCTTTGTTTAACCTCTGAGAGTTCACCACTTACCTTTGTACAATTTCAGCTTTTCATTGGATTGAATGACTTGAACTGGACAAAAATTCGGCTGTTCTAAAACTTTTGACTGGCAGTGTGTAAACATATTTTAACTGTAGATTTGTTTCATGTGACACTGACCCAAGTTTAAATATTTAACTTCTTTTTAACTTCTTCATCTGTCAAAATAAACACTGGCACATTTGTGAACAAGCATTAGATCAGTGCCAGCGTGACATTTATCAGTGACTTTTCACACAGTAATCACACCATGTGATGAAACGATGGGCATTTTCTCCTCACACAGTACAGCACAGTATGTTTTGGGCTCGTGTTAATAAATACTGATGACTTTAAAACAATGAAAATATGAGCTGGCTTCAACAGGAGAGGACATTTTGTTACGGTTTGGAGGACGACTCAAGCGCAGGACTCCGGTTCTGATACTCACAAGAAGGGTTTATTTACAAGTCACCAGGTGTACATACAAGAATGTGCGGGGGGGGTGTTATATACAGCGGAGTGGGGGGAGAAGGGGTCTCCAGGGAAGTCCAAGGGAAAGCACGCATTCTTCAGAATATCCACTCACACGATCACAGGCTCACACTCCGACACTGCCACACGGGAATCACACGGGGGAAAAATCCAGGAAGCTCTGTGGACAGGGAGACAGGGTTAAGAACGACACACAGAGGGAAACACTCTTAACTGGGGTGGGGGCAGGGATAGCTCAGTAGGTAAAGTGGTCACCCCATGATCGGAAGGTCGGCGGTTCGAATCCACTTAACGGCTACCCTGAGGTACCCCTGAGCAAGGTACCGTCCCTACACACTGCTCCCCGGGCGCCTGCTTAGTGGGCTGCCCACTGCTTCACTGAGTGAATGGGTCAAATGCAGAGAAAAACAAGTAATTTCCCCATGGGGATCAATAAAGTATCCATTATTATTATTATTAACTAAACTTGCTGTAGCTTGACTTCACTAACGCGTGGTAGACATTGATCCAGCGACGAACAGCAGTCACCTCCTGGCTTAAATGCTGCTCCCCTTAATAAGACCCAGGTGTCTCATCTCCCGAGGGCGTGGGCCGAGGGCGTGAACCCACAGTGAGTTCCGCCCCGGTGAGAGAGAAGAGGAAGAGAGGGAGAGAAACAGAGAGGGCTGATCAGCGTGCAGCTGATCCGCCTGGCCATGACAGTACCCCCCCGACGGGAGCCTCCCGGCGACCCCCAGGCTTGTCAGGGTGAGCCGCATGGAACGCCCGCACCATACCCCGATCCAAGAGGGCCGTCCGCGGGATCCAAGAACGCTCCTCCATCCCGTAGCCCTCCCAATCCACGAGATACTGCAGACAGCGCCCCCGGCGCTGGACATCCATGATCCTCGAAACGGTGAAAGCCGGGTG